CAACTGCACAGATCTGCTGGATAACACGCCGCTGCACTGTGCAGCCTATCGAGGCCAGAAGCAGTGTGCTCTAAAGCTGCTCAAGAGTGGAGCCAGCCCCAGCATCAAGAACAAGCATGGTAAGGCCTATCAGCCAGAGCTGGCAGTCATTAGTGACGCCTGTCTTTAAAAGATAAGGCTTGCAAGATTTTGTTTTTCACAAAACCAACTCTGAATGTGTTCTGTAGAAGCTGAGTTGTCACTCCCAAAAAAAACACAAAATACACTTCAAAGAGTCACACTGTTGCTCAGATTGTTACGGCAAGCTGCACACCAACAGAGCAACTGGACTCAGTAATTGGCAGGACTCAAACTCAGGTCAGAGAGATATTTATTTGACAGAGTATGGAACGGAAAGGAGGTGGCGAGGATCAGGCGCGGAGCTGCCGGCGTGGGTCTCGGGTGATAGGGCCGCAGAAATGACTGGACCACTGGAGGAGCCGCCCGGGGTCGGAGGAGAGGTTTTGGCACTGCGTATAGAGCAGAGAAGGAGATTAAGAGAGGAGACAATAGGCAGATGAGGGTGTGATGAAGCTGAGCACAACACAGGTGACCTGCGTATAGAGGACTGCTGGCTCCGGGCTGGAGAGCGGGCTTGGAACCCAGCGCCGAGGTATGCAGACAGGAACAAGCGCCCACACTTAACTGACCCAGGCAATGGATGTGGACCCCAACCAACGATTGTCGCTCGACAGCAAGGCCCACGGAGACATAGGCGGCACCAGGCAGCAGCTCGAAACACAAGACACTCCTCCGTAATAAGTTCCAAAATAAACAGAAGATACTCCTTGGTAATGAGTTCAAAAATAAACAGAAGATACTCATTGGTAATGAGTTCAAAAATAAACAGAAGATACTCATTGGTAATGAGTTCAAAAATAAACAGAAGATACTCCTTGGTAATGAGTTCAAAAACAACAGAAGATGCTCCTTGGTAATGAGTTCAAAAATAACAAAAAGAGCTCCTCAGAAGTCAGTTCACCAAATATAACCAAGGTAAAGAAACTTACTCCAGTCGACACAGTGGAATGACACCAATATACCAGGGTAGGATGATCTTAGACGACATCAGGATCCAGGACAAGAAACACGCAAAGTCACCGGCAGGAGACTAAGAGATCGTCTGGCAGCGAGGACACACCAGCGCCGTGTTTAAGTTAATTGAGCGCAGGTGTGCCTCGTCGCCGGGAGCGTGTTCCTACGTGAGCAGGGGTGGAGTCGCTGATGGCCCCGGTAACAGCTGCCGAGGTGCCAGGGACGGCCTGATCCGCGGACGTAACACAGATTCAACTGTTTCTTCATTACAGTGAACTTGCTGCTGTAAATACTTATTTCCATGCTCCTTTGCAGCTAAAAATAGTCCTGTTTGAGTCACTTTGATTAAAAACTATAGTGCCCAGCTGTTAGAAAACTATTAGGCCTCTTTTAAAAATGAAGCTATACATTTATGACCCATTTTTAAAGCTCATACATTCAGTAGGAGTGAGTATGCTTGAGGCTGTGAGTCACAGAAAGGGAAGTGAACTTTGAAAGTACTCAGAGACAGACTGCTGCATTGTTGGTTTAAGTCTTCAGTAATAAAAGTATACAGCACCAGCTGTATCCTTTTACAAACCACACATTCCTCAAAGACGTCTGTGAGAAACATTATTTTTTCCTCACTTTATACCTCTGTTCCATACCCCACTTTACTTGTGTGTCCATAACAAATAGGCCAGACAGCATTTGACCTGGCCAGCGATACAGCAATGAAGCACGTCCTTACAGGCAGCGTTCATCGGGTAAGTGCTCAGCTGGTATTCAGCTTCCTAAGGTTAATTTGATTTGTTTTTTATTTTCTTCATGTTTTTCACCTGTGGCCCTAACAGGATATGACAAGACATGTCAGGAAGTACGAGGGACTCCTCTGGAAGGTAAAGTCTGGGAATTATTATCTCTGGTGGCTGAGAGAAGCCAGGTTATATCAGGCTGAGAAATTAACAGCAGAATGGAGAACATCTACTCAGCAGGTTGACATACTGCATTTATAGACTAATATCTTTCTGTGGTAACCACCACTAGCGACCCTTGGCACATGCAAGGAGTCGTGTGATCTGTTGCAAAGAGAAACATATTGATAGCAGCTTTAAGGACACAAAAGCAACAATGACGTCATCCTGCTAATAAGCATTGTTTGAAAGTGTATTGCTCTGTGTCACAGAGCTCCATTGGTGTCCAAAATCTACTGTGCTCCACCAGTAGAGTACAGTGATGTACCTTCATTATGATAAACACATGACTCAGTCCCACTAACACCAGGCTGGTGCCGGAAATACTAGTACACAACATGCATATTAATCCATATCTCAAAATAGCCTCAGTTGTAATTGCAACTTGGGTGTTAATGTGAGTGCTATTTAAAAGTCAGAAACAAGCAATTACAGCAGCTTCTGTATTACGTGACCACTATATTTGGAAACCCTAAGAATTTATTTCAGTTTCACTACCCACTGAGGTCATCAGTGAGGGAACAAGCATCTGTGTGCATTCAAACTGCTTGTGTTTATAGTATTTGCATTGTGTTTCTAAAATGAAAGTGCAGCAAATTCATGAATGTTTTTCCACTTGAATGTGCTGGGTGCCCTGTCAGCCACCGTTAAAATCAGAACAGGCTAAACAATAAGAGACATCACTGAAACTCGTTTGTATCTGGTCCTGCAGAGCTCGAGATTTTTTGGCTGGTGCTCCTACTGGGTCGTCCTTCAGGATGGGGTTTTATCCTGGTACTCAAAACAGTAGGTGCCACCACCTTGTCTGTGCTCCGTGAGTCACACTCGGTGATAGATAAATGAAAGTACTGTACACTTTTGATTAGAAACAGGCGATAAAGAAATAAGCTAACGAGAAGAATTATGACTTTGGTATCTCAGTTGAAAATGTGTCATATGTTTGACCTGCAAAAGAAAAAACCCCAGGAACATCTGTCTCTCATGTAAAGGTCAGATGCTGTTGCCAGTGTCAGAAGGCAAGGCTGTAAGTCCCTCACACATGCTCAGTGTTTGGTAAGCTGACATTTAATATCTGCCCTCAATTTTGTTGGCCACTGCATTGAATTTGTGTGCGTTTACTGAAACAAGGCATTATTTCTGATGTTCTCATTTTTAGATCCGAGCCAAAGATAACTGCTTTTTCACCATCAAGTGCTTTGATGACAGTGTGCATCACTTCAAAGTATCACCTAAAAATGACCCAGAGACAATGAGAAAAGTAGGTTTTGTTTTTCCTCTGGCTGTAATCTCAGTTGCTCTTCTGAAAGATCTGATCCGAAAGATATTTCTGCTTAATTGTTAACTTTTGTTGCATTCTCATTTATTGTTTATTCATAAAGACAAATAACTGAAGAGCTGGGCAGAGTGTGTAGCAGTATAACAGAGCACTGGGCGGAGCAGGGTGCATTGATTTGGAGTTTGATGCTAGTGCTACCTTAAATTACATACTCTAGCTTTAATGTAATTTTGGAGTTTTATAATCTCAAAATTGATTGTTTTCATCAAAAACTGTGCAAAGGTGAGTCACTTTTTTTACCTTGAATGAACTTGGTCACAAGAAGGCTATTATTAGCTTAAGTTACTGTGCCTGCTGCACATAAAGGCTGAACCTGTAATATGTAGGTGTCTGAGAGAAATTCAGAGGTAAATTTTTAGAGGTAGTTTGTGAATACTTCTTAGTAATGTGATACTCACTCTACCATGCTCCTCAATGGATTTATGTCTGGTTACACCTTGCAGCAGATGCACAGGGATGAGTGTGAATACACCTAAAGCTTATAGACCCATGGGGGTGACTCTACTGAGTTCAGCCCAAAAAGTAGAAATTCACTGGCAAAAAAAAAGAGACTGTAGGAGCAGTGAAAAGAAGAACAGACAGGAGGACAGAAAAATGTAGACCATGAAGAGCAAACATCAACAAATTAGTGCTGGAGCATTTTATTTTTGTATCTGAATTGCTATGACCTTTCATGTCTAAATGTTAATAATGTGGCGTTTTGGAAAATACACATTCAATTTCTAGTTGAGAGTTAGATGATAGTTGGATCAATATCACTCTCATGTCTGTACGTTAAGTATAAAGCTACAGCCAGCCACCACTGGAGACTGGAAATAGACTGTCCATGAATAACATCCTACCAGCACCTCTAAGACTAATTATCCCATTTATTCAGACCATATGACAGGTGATCTGTAAAAACACCTATTCACCGATTTATGGCGGTTTATGTTGCCATGCACCCTGTGGAAACCTAATGCTTCCAGCCAAGAAAAAGTCTGGGAAACGAGACTGCTTCGTATCTTGGCTATGAGTGTGTGTCAGTGTAAGTCGCTAAAGAAGTAATAAAAAGAAGGCTGCCAAAAATAATGTACAGTAAATGGACGCTGTTGGTGGTAAACGAATAGGGAAATACAGCTGGTTAGCTTAGCATAGCATAAAACAAAGAAACAGGTAAACTTGTGATTGTTACACTTAAGGTTTCGCATGGATTAAACAAAAACAGTAACTTTAGAGGTGCTGTTTACGGTCTTTGTGCTGTGTCAAACTTTATATTTAACAGAGTGGTATCAGCCTTCTCATCTGACTTTCCTCTAAATAAGGGAATTAGTCTATTTCCCAGGTCAAACTATGTCAAACAGATCTAAACAGTCATCAGTGTATATCCTAACTTCCTTTAAGTAATTAATGGATAGCTTTTATCAGAGTGGTAAATACATGTAATCTGTACAAATTCGCTGATTTTATCTAAAGCATGATGGCTGCAATTATATTTATGCTATTATGTTATAAGATGAGATTTCAGTTTTGGAGTGTTCTATCTGAAACCTGCTTGATCTAGAAAACCCAATTTTAAAATGTTTTGATATCACACATTTAGTATATCTTTGGGTTGCTTGTTATTTTTACTAATACAAGAGAATTTTTGTTTTTTATCTAGGATGTAAAAATGTTTAACCTAAATATCTCTAAAATCTTACCGTAAATTAGAGAACACTGTCTTCTAGGCATGGCTGGATGCCCTGGAGAAGCACTCTGCTTACAGCACACACTACTGCTCCCAAGAGCAGGGTGAGGAGGAGGAGGAAGAGGAGGAGGAGGAAGTGATGTCACTCGGGGAGCTAACGGACTCACTACAGGTGGTTCCAGAAATATATATGTGTATATATAGCATGTCAGCATAATGATCCATATTATTTTTGCCAAACTAGAAAGCGCTGGTCCTCCCACCCTTTGTGCTGCTTTTCTTCAGTCTGCTGTCTCCTCTTGTCTCTGTGAAACCAGGCAGCGGAGGCCAGCCAGAAGAAGCTGGAGAAGAAGGTGGCATCTTTCCTGTCCATGCTGAAAAATAATGGGCTGGCAGAAAGTAAAACCTGTTATTTCAGTGTCAGTTAGGTTTTTTTATATCTTGTAATGTGCACACAAGGGAACCTGACGGATTTGAACCATTCAAGAATGGAAATGAAAACTTTTATGATCAAAATTGTAATGATCATCAAGCAGCTTGAAATCAGCAGCACTGGTAGAATAATATCTGAAATTCTCATAAGAGTCTGCGCCACCTGTTGCTGTCGTCAGGGGCTTGCTATGCTTGTGGTTTCTAAAACCACAACTTGTTCTCTACATTTGCTTCAGTTTCTTTCTACTTTTTTAAGCGGATTGTGACTTTTTCATTCACCCTTTACTTTGTGCTGGCGGGTCTGTCATCAGTGTGCCTGTCCCCTCAGGTTTTCCATCAGCCCTACTGCAGAAGATGCAGGAAATCTGTGAGTTGTCCAGTGAGACCAGCTCCAGTCTCAATGTCTGCCTCAGGCTTTTCTCCAAACAGGAAGGGGTAAGTGTCAGCTTCGTGTCAGATGTGAGTTAGTTGCTGTGTGTCAGGTTTTCAGATTATCATCAGATAAGAGCACAGGATATATTTATATGTTTTACTAAGATCATAAACAAGACTGCGTTTTCGTATTAATGTGCTTATATTTAGAGGTATTCAGCGCTGAAACTTCTGCTGCCAACCAGTGTAAGAGAGGTAATTACAACAACATTTGAAAAACTCCACAGTTAATTTGTAACCAGGACATTGTTTCTGCAAAGATGTGTAACAACCCTTCCAGCTTCTGTAGATGAGAGCTAAGGAAGAAAACATTTTTTTTGTCATTTGATTGATCCTTTTACATATGCAGACTATAAATGCTATAATCAACAGAATCCTTATTTTCTGTGACATTCAGATATATAGAAGATGTAAAACAAAACATGTTTCTTAAGAAAGCACAGGCACAATTTACACCTCCTTATGAAAGCGGCCCAGTGGAATGCAATGATTACAAGCTGTCAGACGGGTTTTCTTTGTGCATGATTCAATGGATTTGATTATAATGGAAGGATTCAGTGGATAGATTACATTCCTCCAGCAAAGAAAAAGTGATACAATGTAAAACATTATATAGTTTTAAACATCATAATACTTGAATAAACACAGTGTTTACATGGTGATTCACTTGAAAGGCTTTGCATAATAAGATACATCTACATTTTGGGCGTGTCTTATCCATGTGTGAAAAAGTTATGAATGGCTTGTGAACCTAAATATCATTGCAGCAATTTCTTGTGACAAAGTCAGACGTCGCTGAGAGGCTGAGCTCAGGCCTTGTTTATTGAATGTCTGTCGTGCTACCAAAAATATGTTTTATCATTTTCATTAAGACACAGTGAAGAGACAATAAAAATATAAGAAAGTATAAATGTCCCAAAAAGACAATATATTCAAAAATAAATACAAAAACGGCAAGAAAATGCCAATATAAACTATGTGTATGTATGATACTTTGAAAAAGCTAATGAAGCTAATGAAAAGTCTTCTTTCATTGTGTCCAAAGTGTAAATCCAGTAATGTTCCCAATGTGTAAGTCTTGAAATAATTTCTCCACCTCTAGGAGAACATTTAACATTCAATATGGATGAACTGCAAGGTAGCTGCTGATTCATGATTAAATTTCATAAAAAGATTTGCAGTAACATACTGCAATCCTCATTCTTAGAACGAATGGCTGCTTTATGTTCAGCAATGCACAACCTTAAGGCTCTTTTAGTTTGGCCTACATAGACCATGCCACATGGACATCTAAGCATTAATAAAACTGGTGATATTAAATCTCTTGCCAGTTTGTGGATGAAAGAAGACTTTACTATATATTGTATGTAGTATACATGTTGTCACAATGTACACAATTTCCACACTTGTAGTTACCCAGACAGGGATCAGGAATCCAAGCGGTCGAAGGTTTAGGGGGAAGCATGTTGTGTATGATGCTATCTCCTTTGTTATGAGCTCTCTTAAAACTGTAGACTGGTAGTTTAGGGTCACTTGACACAATAGGCCAGTGTTTTAAAATAATGTGTCTAATTTGTCTGGCCTGTGGATTATAAGAAGTAGAGAACACCAGCCGAGATGTAGATCCGAGATGGAATTCTTAAGAATTGAATTAGCATTAGATAGAGCTGAAGTAGCATGAAAAATGCTTCTTAAATGGAGTTTACATACAACGGACACATTTATATTGTCCCATGGTACATTTGCATTTTAATATTGTCCACCATGAGCGTTCAGTGCTACATATGTGCAAGTTCTTTTGTATAAACAAGTGTATATGGTTACGTTTTTATGATTTGAAGGTTAGGCATATGTGAGAAAATGCGACTGGGATGAAATGGATATGTAGAGCTTTAAAAGGAACCAATATAGAGAGAATTTATGTAAATTGTTGACTGAATTTAAAACAACACTCACATAAAATCTGTAGCATATATCAAAGAGTGCCTATCTAATTTTCATCCAAATCACAATCTCCTATTTCAGTTTTGTAGGTCCTCATTAAAGATCTCAGAGCGAGATGGTCTTTTTTTTGTTGTTGTTTTATCTTTATGTTGCATAATGTCCTGTCACCCCTATTGTTCATTTGCGACCCTTTCCAAACCAGATGTCACATTAGAGTGAGAATCTGTCACTGACTACTCCCTGCTCATTGTACTGATAATAGTAGACCTAGTGCTTTTGATGCACTGCAGGGTCTGAATGCACTGCTGAGTGCATTGTTGAGTTGTTGAATACATAAATCAAGGCATGTTAACATGTCCGTGCAGATTCTCAGTCATCCAGGTCATAGTAAGCTGAGAAAAAAAAATCAACTGGACTAGATTTTTAGGTTGAAGATGTTTCACATATCATCCAAGAGGCTTCATCAGTTCTGCCCGACTGGCGTTGAGTCAGTAACACAACTTGTCATCCATCTACAACTCTGTTTTGAGATCTCTGCCCAAATATGTCCATCCTAATTCAGACCAGGACAATAGGCGTCAGTCCCCATGTGAGGGTTCAAAGACGGGTAACGACGCTCACTGATACCAGACCCTAATGACTGAGTCATTACAGGACATTGTTGGCCTTCAAAGGACTGAAACACCACCGATGGGGATAAATATCTCCGACTCAACGCCAGTCGGGCAGAACCGATGAAGCCTCTTGGATGAGAGGTGAAACGTCTTCAGCCTAAAAACCTAGTCCAGTTGATCTTTTTTTTTTTTTTTTCTATGTTTTTTCAGTTTACTATGACCTGGATGACTGAGAATCTGCACAGACATGGTAACATGCCTTGATATATGTATTCAACAACTCAACGATGCACTCAGCAGTGCATTCAGACCCTGCAGTGCATCAAAAGTTATTTTTCAAGGCATGTTAACCTTCACGCATTAGTACACAGATTCAGACAGTCCTGTCTGTTTGACACCTGCTGGTTTCTGCCTGTAGAACATGAAATTTGCATATTAACATTGACAAGAGTGTTGAATACCAAAGTCTGAATTATTAAAACCACTAGGTGTTTCGGTCTTGACGAGCATGTGAACCATGTTTTCTCCTCCCACTCGCATTCACTAACACAGCTTCATCTCACAAACAAGATAGCTGAATTTCTTTGGGATCTTTAGAAGCACTGCTTATGTGTCCATGATACCAAAACCATTTGAATGTTTTCAGTTTAAGACCCAGTACAGTGCTTTCAGGATTTACACCTGGGCCGGGTCTCAGTCACTCAGCTATGCAGCCTTTTAAACTGTGTTCTGCAGAGACAGAGTGTACATAGAAAGGCTCACAGAATCATAGAGCTCACCATGAATAGACTTGGTCTCAATAGGAAACTCTCAAACATGTACAGTGTATCTCAGTCTACATGTGACGGCACACAGCGGGAATGAAGCAATGGGGCCTGTTCTCATTCTCCCTGCCAAGGAGAGACACTGATTCACTTCCAGCTCCTGCAGTGCTGGCTTGCACTTTAGGGACACATGTGGAGGGGTCAGGCAACAAGAATTTCCTCTTTAAAGTTCTGTATATTGCAGTAATGGCAAATGATCAGTAGTCTGGCATTGTACAGCACTTTCTCTCCACTTCGCCCTTCCTGATCCAGTCCTGATTAGCGTTTTACAGATAATGATTTATCATGAATTTTCCCTCTTTTGTTTCTTTGGCAGCCCAAAGTAAAACACTTCCTTTTTAGTGATCTCTGAGTTTATATTTACACATCAGTGGGAAAAGATTGTTTGTTACAGTGCAGATGAAAAATGAGCACATTTTCATATCATCAACACTAATTCTTTGGCCAAATGGAAGGTTTGGTTAATAGTTTATATCTGAGTCCATTACCTGTCATTTGATTCCCTCTTGTCTTGTCCATGGGAATCATGTTCCTCAGCAGGCAATTTGAGATAACGGTATCAAGGCAGCTGTCCTCTGTTACGGATAAACATGGCTCATTGTTCTCAGCGCCACCTCTGTCTCTGTCCATGGGTCTGATCATGAGAGGACAGTTGCAGGAGGGAGGATCGGTCAGTCAACATGTGATTTATTTGCAGACCCACTGGTATCACAGCCAGTCTGATAGTTATGTGCATTTGTCTGCTTTTTGTAATGAGAGTTGTAATAAAATATTCATGATTGGTAGACACTTATTTGTCTTTACTTATCAAATGATGAAGATAGAATTCTTGTTGGTTAATGTTTCTGTGAGTCATTAGTCTCTTTCTTTGTGCATGTGTGTGGTGAGCTCAGGTGCGCAGTCTGAAATTGGAGCAGGAGGTGGGGAAGAATAAGATCCTCTCTGAAGCGCTGCAGACTCTGGCCACAGAGCACCACGAACTTGAGCAATCCATCGTCAAGGGGTCTTCACCGCTGAGCGAAGATAAGTTCCACGAAGCTCTGTCTGGTGAGTTAACAACTTATCGAACGCAATCAGGAGATGCAGGAGATTCAGTGAGCTCCCACTCCCGTTCACCTGTAAGCACAGTGGAATGCTTTCTCCTGCCAGTGAATGTCTTTGAATACATAGAATGAGTTAAGTTAATGATCGGGACTACATCGTTTGAGTTGATGATAGCCAGTTTGTATAATTATAAAGAACAATATTTGCTTGTTTGGAATCAGTTTTTGTCTGGTATATTAGGAGAAAAGTTTCATAGAAGTTAATAGGAGTGTAACAATATTTCACGTTGAGGTAAAAACTGTCTTGCAACATAATAGAACCAGAGCGCAGTGTGATGGCAAAGTGATGTACATTCACATTAAGACAACTCCCTGCTGTGTTTTAATGCACTGTGTTGCTTGGAGAATGAGAGTTCGCAACAGGGAGTGTTGTAGGCATGTACGATGCAATCCGTAGTGGCTTCATTCACGTTTTTAACCCATGAGTTTCTGTTGTGTGTTGGTTACTCATGCTGCTAACATGGTTTACTCTGTCTTAGCCCCAGTTCTCCCACCAGTGTGTCTGATAAATAAAAAAAAACACAGTTTACGATCCAATACTAATGAAAATATATAGTATGTTGTTAAATTGCTTTAACCGTGGCTCAATTTTGATAGTGAATAGCAGTGAATGCTCATGCAAACAAGGTAAACAAAAGAGCCTTCTTCCCATGAGCATCCACATCCTGATCGTCCCCCATACGTTACTGGTCAATGCAGAGCCTTTGCCAGATAAACATTTTTTGTAAATGTCTCTTATTATCATTTTTAAAGAACTGCAACCAAGAGAGTGGAACACTTCACAGTTGAAAAATGAACTTGTCAGTCCTCTAGAGGAAAAAACTATGTTGTGGCAACACTGTTTCTAAATGACCTCAAACACTTTTTTTGGAATTTCATAATTATTGGCTGAGATACTATATACACAGATACCAATATATCTGCAGTAAGCTAATATTGGTCAATATATCAGCCAGGCTCATTTATTTGTCTAGCACTAATTGTTATCATGCATGTGGTGATACTGGTTTTAATGTTAGACAGTAAAAGATATCTACAGGTACTGGGATAAACTGATTTTATTACATTCATCTTTTGATTTCTATTCTATTCTACCTGACAGCTGTACTCACTTGGTAATGGTCTGTTTTGCCTCTTTCTTTAAAAAAAAAAAATTGTCTTTAAGAACAATTCATGGCCACTTGACAGTAAATCATCTCCATGTGCCCATTAGACTCAGACTCAGAGCTCTCCCTGAGCGGCTTTGAGACGGTGGCCAGCCAGTCGTTTGAGGAGGACGAAGAGGAGGAGGGTGAAGGCTCTGTCATGTTAAGCAGTCCTAGCAGCAACCCCACCACCATGTTGTGGGGGGATCACCATGGTGACAAGGATGAGACTCAAACCAATGGGACCACAAAGCATAGGTCAGCGGAGCTGTTTGGATGAACAACAAAGGGCCTGTATCTTCATATCAGACTGTTATTGTTGTTGTGTTTTTTTTCTTCCTTTGCTATAATATATCACTGGTACATTACCCAGCTCAGTCTGAGTGTTCTCTTTTCTCAGTGATCTTTTTTTTTTTTCATTTTTATGTCCTCCCTCAGGTGTTTCCACCTCAGTGTGAATAATTCAGAGTCAGGGCCAGCCTGGTTAAGGCAAGAGAAAGCAAAAAAACAGAGCTCTATGCTGGAGCTGTTAAATATTAATATGGTCGAAGTGCGGTGCAATAATCAGTGTGTAGTATGATCCCATGTTGTTTAGATGCACATTGAATTTAAACATTATGTCAGTGCCTCATGTATTTTTACATGGTTTAAACATTATATTCTTGTGATTGTAAATATAGAATCCAAGCTCCAGCTTTTACCGTAGTTTGACCTGGCTGATCCTCTGGATCTGTTGTACTTAATAAGAGCTGCTAATGAATGAATCCAAGGCAGCCAACCACCATTGTTACCGGTGTTGATTGTACCTCTGGGCTCTCTTCCAGAATGGCACACAGTGCATTAAAGGCTTTTGTTGACTGTATTCACTTGAATACCATATGACACCTGTAGCTATTATATGTCTGATACATTTACTGTAATGACAAATTTCTGTATTTCAAGCACTAATACAAAGTCAAAGCTAATCCATCATATGGGTCCTATAGAGGTAATACAATTGTCTGTTAATGTGTCATTTTAGGACCAGTTTACCTGCACCAATGTTTTCAAGAAATGACTTCAGTATTTGGAGTATCCTGAGAAACTGCATTGGAATGGTGAGAATAGTGTTCATATTGTTAGGCTTTGTCGGCAGCACGGCTTTATGAATGGCGATATCATGCAGTCAGACGATCCACTATAGTCTAGACTGAAATATTTCAACAGCTACTGGATGGATTATGACGTTTTGTACTGATATTAATGGTTATCAAAGAACAAATCAAACTTTGGTGATTTTTAGTGAAATGTGTAGATAACTGTTGGATGGATTGGATGGAAATGTGGTACAAACACAAGTTCCTTTCATGATGAATTGTAATCATTTTAGTTACCTAGCACAACCAGTTTGTTGAATACTTTTGTTTATGGCCATGTACATTGGCACCCCTGCATTTCTATCAGATAATGCACCACTTCTCTCAGAAAATTGTTGCAATAACAAATTCTCACGTTTATTTCTTTTGTTTGCACTGGAACAACACAAAAGACCAGAGTAAAAAATGCTAATTTGATACATTTCACACAGAACTCCAAAAATGGACTTGATAGAATTATTGACACCTTTGCAAATTATCAGAAATGGTTCTATTTCAAGCATGTGATGCTCCTTTAATGTTCTGTGGACAGAATAGACTAAGATAGAGCTTTTTGGTTGAGCACATCATTTCACTGTTTTCAGAAAACAGCCTTCAAAGAAAAGAACACGGTCCCTACAGTCAAACATGGTGTAGGTTCACTGATGTGTTGGGATTGCTTTGCTGCTTCAGGCACTGGATGTCTTGACTGTGTGTATGGCATTATGAAATGAATTCTGAGGCACAATGTAGGGCCCAGTGTCAGAAAGTAGGGTCTCCGTCAGAGGTCATGGGTCTTACAACAGGATAATGACCCAAAGCAGACTTCAAAAAGCATCAAAAATGGTTTCAGACAACACGCTGGAGAGTTCTGATGTGGCCAGCAATGAGTCCAGATCTAAATCCCACCTGTGGGGAGATTTCATAACAGCAGCTGGGAGAAGGAACCCTTCAAATCTGAGAGCCCTGGAGCAGTTGGCAACAGAAGAGTGGTCCAACATTCCAGTAGAGAGGTGGAAGAAACTCACTGATGGTTACAGAACAATTGATTTCAGTTATTTTGTCCACAGGGTGTGCTACCAAATATTAAGTTGAGGGTGTCAGTAATTCTGTTCAGTCCATTTTTGGAGTTCTCTGTGGAATTTATCAGATTTGGCTTTTTTATGTTGTTCCAATTCAAACAAAAGAAATAAACATGAGAAAACCAAGTAATTTGTGACTGCAACTGTTTTCTGGGAGAAGTGGTGTGTTGTCTGACAGAAATGGAAGGGGCCCAGTATTTTGAGACGTGACTGTACATGCAACATGAATGACATTCATCAGCCTTAGCTGTACTTGATTTTTAGAGCCAATTAATAAACTGAAAGTGGCTGGATTAGTATAATAATGTATCAGATGACTGTGAAAATATTGCAAAGTGAAATTGGTTAATCTGAGCTTTATGGTGTTTTATAATGAGTTTCAGCTCATTTAGCAGCTAAACATGCAGATATTTCTCTCATGAGCTGGTGGAGACCAAAACGGAGCTAAAAGAGATGGCGATGTTCACATATAGCTCAAAGTGCCACAACCTCACAAAGCCGCTTGCATGGCTGTAGAAACTTGTTCACTAGTGTGCCGAGTATTACTGTGTAGGCTACTTTATTTCCAGATTATGCCATGAAATAATCAAAAACCTCTTTTATTTGAAGACTTTCTCATGCAGCAGAAAATGGTACATTAGACAAACCCTCCATTTACATGTGCTGTATTTTTTGACACAAGCAACATCCAAATGATGTGTGTGCATGCATTAGTGTAGTCTTTTCCACACTGAATATATTTATTATACTTGTCTTGTGAAGGGATTTAATTTTCTCTGTGTAATAAAACCTTGTCCCTCATTTGCTCTTCTTGTCTATTTCAGGAACTGTCCACGATTACAATGCCAGTCATTTTCAATGAGCCGCTCAGCTTCCTGCAGCGTCTGACAGAGTACATGGAGCACTCATACCTCATCCATCAGGCCAACACCTCGTCAGACTCCATTGAGAGAATGAAGGTAGTACAGTCTAACTTCCTGGACATATCGTGCAAATGAATTAGGCCACATTCTGACTGAGTTTCAAAGGTGTGAAAAACTTTAGCCATATCTATTCGTGTCTACGGAAGATTGCATTGACCGCAGCCAGCACCATACAACAGTGCAGCCCCACGCAGTGAAGAAGTTGGATGTGGTTCAACCTTTGTAGCACCATCATTCGGCAAAGGCGCTACATTGACCATTCACGTATAGGGTACGATCGAAACGTGGATATCCACGGGAAGAGGACTCTTTTGTTTACCATGTTAGCATGAGCATTCACTGCTATTCACCATCAAATTTGGGCCACAGTTAACACCCCATAATAATATGCCATGCATTTTTGTTGGTACTGAATGTTAAACTGTATTTTTATGCCTCTACGTGGGCGAGAGCCGCAGCCCTTCGAGTTGTATGTCTGTCCATATGTCCATCTTGTTCTTGTGAACATATCTCAGGAACACCTTGAGGAAATATTTTCAAAATTGGCACATGTGCACTTGGACTCAAATATGAACTGATTAGATTTTGGTGGTCAACGGTCAAGGTCAGTGACCTCAGCTCAGTCCCATACCCATTAATTTGACTGGTTGGTATAGACACACCACCACAAAGCAGTAATTCTAGTTCATTACATTCCAATTAATTGTAATTGTAATCATTGTAATAAGTTGACCTGTTGTCTTAATAAAAATGATAAAACATATTTTTGGTAGCACGACAGACATTCAATAAACAAGGCCTGAGCTCAGCCTCTCAGCGACGTCTGACTTTGTCACAAGAAATTGCTGCAATGATATTTAGGTTCACAAGCCATTCATAACTTTTTCACACATGGATAAGACACGCCCAAAATGTAGATGTATCTTATTATGCAAAGCCTTTCAAGTGAATCACCATGTAAACACTGTGTTGATGCACACTTGGTAGAAATTAGGTTAGCAGCATGACTAACCAAAACACAACAGAAACTCACAGGCTGGAAACATGAATGAAGCCACTCACGCTGACTCGTCACAACATGGCCAAATACAATAACTACAATACCCCCCCTCCACCCCCAATCAATGCAGCTCCTTTCATAAAAACACAACACCATTCAGTCTGAACACACATTAAACCGCCTCAAATATTGGCATATTTTTGCTGTATTATACCTTTACTTGTAAATTTAATGTGCATGATTATACACAATTATCTGCCATTGACAGTGTGTGGCTGCGTTTGTGGTGTCCTCTGTGGCTTCCCAGTGGGAGCGGACAGGTAAACCCTTCAACCCCCTGCTCGGAGAAACCTATGAACTGGTCAGGTAAGTGGGATTATACAACTTATGTTATACATGGATGCATGGATGTTAATGTTATATATTTACTCATCATGTCAGCTACGTGTTAATCTGTCCTCTAACACTCCCACTTTGATACCTGCTGTTTCCCTGGTCTCCTAGAGATGATCTTGGCTTCAGGGTCATATCAGAGCAGGTGAGCCACCACCCTCCTGTCAGTGCCTTCCATGCTGAAGGCCTGAAGCAAGACTTTGTGTTTCATGGATCCATCTATCCCAAACTCAAGTTCTGGGGCAAGAGTGTGGAAGCTGAGCCAAAAGGCACCATCACACTGGAGCTGCCCAAGTACTGGTTTATTTAACACAAGAAGGTTACAGACACCAAAGTTGACCCTCTGTGTGAGTGGTCTGTAGGTTTAATCACACATCACTATTTGGAGCTGGTGCATTTTCCCTAAGCTGTTTTTTCTTCCAGGTACAATGAAGCCTACACATGGACAAATCCTACATGTTGTGTTCACAACATTATTGTGGGCCAGCTATGGATTGAGCAGTATGGAAATGTAGAGGTGATCAACCACAGGTAAAAAAAAAAAAAAAAATCAGTAATTACAATGTTTGACCACATGTGTTAGACTACTCTAAAGATTATAAGTTTAGATATTTATGAAGAAGTCAGATAAAGCTGATATAATTACTTTGAGGCACTCTGGCAAAGAGGAAGATGGACAGAGCAGAAGAGGATGTACTGTATGATTCACCCAGCAGAGAGTGAGCGCCTAATATGCTGTTTGTCACCCTTTTCACCTAGAACTGGAGAAAGGTGCTTTCTGAAATTCAAACCATGCGGTCTTTTTGGCAAAGAACTGCATAAGGTCGAAGGATATATTCTGGATAAAAGGTACAGTTTACGCTGATGTTTACAAAAGTCATTTGAATAATGGTGGGGGATACTGAAATTCTTGCCCCGCTACCCTTGTTAATCACGGTTTTGCATATTGCAACATAAGACATGAGTGTCTGAAGAGTTCTCCTCGGTATTATCTGGGATCATAGTCATTGGCACATATTGCCACATTAATGTATGACCGAGGCCTACCAAAACATATTCTTTCATACCTCCATATTTTAAAGCAAATATGATTAAGTAAGCTGTTTAAATATGCTTCATTTTAAAATCAGGACTTAGAAAGTTAAGTAGGCTGGTAGAGGTCACCGTGCTGATTTCATTTATTGGTGTGACATCAGAACCCATTATAAAATCAAATCATCCTGCAAATTATCAATTAAAAATTCACCCAGTTAATAATTCATTGTCATCATATCCAGCTCTGCACATGGGCTTTAGTGGACAATGGAAATAAATAAAGAAAAGACAACTAAAAAACTAAGAAGGCAGCTAACATGTTACCGAAACACATAAAGTAACTATTTGTCAAAGGACAAGCAGTTTAACAGCTCCAGTGATGACATATGAAGGACTGGACACAAATATTGTGCATGACCACAAGAAAAAGATATGCACCATGAAATACACAGATACACAGGGAGATGTGCCACCTAACTCCCCTCATTTACAAAGTGACACTGGGGGGAGTTACATGGCAACACGAGATGCTGGTAATGAGTGGAGAGATCAGAAAATCATGCTTGCTCACACTGCATGATGTCTGCTGTTGCTTGTGTGTGTGATCTGGCTTTTTAACTTCTTTTTAACAGAGAATGTTTCCTGCACCTGAAAATTCAACAGTGTGGTGCCACACATGGAAGTGTTTATCTTGATTTATGGAACTTTTCTTAGCCAGGAAGTTCTTATCTGTTGAAACTCTAGTGCTAAAACAGCAACATTATTATCTGGTGCATGTGCCTGAGGATAATTGTGTGTGTGTGTGTGTGTGTGTGTGTGTGTGTGTGTGTGTGTGTGTGTGTGTGTTTTTCACAGCAAAAAGAAGCTGTGTGCTCTCTATGGAAAGTGGACAGAGTGTCTATACATCATCGACCCTGCTGCCTATGAAGTACATAAGAAAAGTGATCAGAAAGGGGCAGAAGAAAAAAAAGGCAGCAAAGCAGTAAGAACTGTTTATCTACTGAACAGAGGAGAATCATCAGTTAATTATTCTGATTCACTGTGTGAAGAATCATATCAGGGCCAACAACAGAAAAGTCCAGTTGAAAATATCAGATGCTAACAACCATAATTAATACTGTTCTGCCAATAAGCATAAAGTAATACTGATCCTGCTGACAGCTTAATTAATATGTAAACTTGTCTTATATCTTCATTTTGTGTTTACAGGGCTGCAGTGAGACTCAGGAGGAGGTTCCCTCACCAGCTGCAGACACTGTGGACGTGATCCCTGGCAGCCAGCTGCTGTGGAGAATCCCTCCCAGACCAGTCAACTCTGCCCAGGTATTACTGGCTAATGTACACAAGACTGTAGTCTCAAAATTGCAGTAGGAGGTGATTTGTACAATATTTTAATATAGATTTTTTTTTTTTTTGCAGATGTACAGCTTCACATCCTTTGCAATGCAGCTGAACGAGCTGCATAAGGAGATGGAGGGAGTCATTCCTCAGACAGACTCCAGGCTGAGACCAGACATACGAGCTATGGAGAACGGTGATATTGGTACTAATTGTTGGTAATTTACTGAAGAAGAAAAAAAAAAGATCTTCTAACTGCAGTCTGATACACTATAATGTTGTTATTCAAATAGACTTTGCCAGTGAGGAGAAGAAAAGGCTTGAAGAAAAACAGAGAGCTGCTCGCAAAAACCGCTCCAGATCTGATGAAGAGTGGAAGACGAGGTGAGGATGTGGACTGGAGAACTCACTGCTTAAAATGTCTTGATGTTTAATATTACAAAGATTAGATTATAAATATATAAAGTTGCTATTTCCTATTAAACATAATTTAGCAAATTAATAAAACAACTTGAATATGACTAAAGTGTGACAGTTGTCAACTCTGTTTTGTTAAGCTTGGTAAGATGAACATGCATTCAAATAACTTGTACACATTTTTTAATTGTGGTTGAATCCAGTTTATTTCTTTGATGCTGCAATTTTATCATCTCTATCTATACTGTCTCATGCTTTTTGCATTGAAATTCTTAAGCATATCTGCATTTTCTCTTCACTTGTGCTATTTTTCTGTTGCACGCTCGCTTTGATGCTAAGGAGTCCTTTCCTGGGCCCAAGGTTAGAGCCGATGTGATGTGATCGTGTGACCTTGCAGTCTCAGCGTTTCTAAACACTTACTGTTCTCTTAATGTTTTCATTAACTGTGTCCTGCTCCCTGTTGCATAGGACACAGAATTACTGATGATGAAGAATCAATGTATAGACAGTATATTTAATCAGCTCTCTCTTCCGCCAGCATGACAGCTCCACTTTCTGGCACTAGATGGAATTATTCAAACACCACAGGAGCTCTTTGACTAAATTATTTCTTTCCTTGCTTTCAAGCACAGAGATAGAGTAACACTAATTTTGTTTTAGCCAAAAGCAAATGATCACAACAGTCATTTGTCATGAAGATTACCCATAACCTTGTGATGTGATGATGTGTGTCTGCTGTGTTTTCAGGTGGTTTCAACAGGGACAGAACCCTCACACCAGCTCCCAGGACTGGCTCTTTACTGGTAGCTACTGGGACAGGAAATACAACCAGCAACCAGACATTTACTAAGGGACATTTTGTGCATAGAGAAATTAACACTGTGCAGTGTCCTCTGTACAGAGCAACATTAATACTTTTTTTTTTTTTAAATAAATACAGTAACAATAAGAAATATGCAAACTGCTTGGCCTTAATCTACTTTATGATGGTAAAACTGTGCATAAAAAGTCCATTGTCAATATTTAAACATTATTAAATGTAAAGTTGTTAGATAATGTTTTTAAATGTAGCATTTGTATTTTCACTGAGGTCAGATTGTTTCTGTTCACAATGGACTTTTAGCACAGTAGAGAGGTGCTATTGCAAAGGACTTCATGGTTTTAGTGTCTTTGTTCTTTTTTAAATATTCATAATAGTGTTCTCTCTCAAAATGTATATCTGTGTATAGTCAATCATCAGTGACCTCATCTTGTCATTCAGTCAGTGGATGCCACTTCTCCTCATGTATTTTCCTTTGTAAAGAAATCAGGCCTACAAAACGCACCGATCAGGCATAACATTATGACCACCTGCACATCTCTATGTGCTTCAATGCAACACGTCTGCCTTAACATCTGTGTTTATGAATCTCAAAATGTTTCATTTTTTGGTGAGATTGTCATAAATGTATAAATTCAATTATAGATTCATTATTGAGGTCATAGTTAAAGGTGCTGTTGTAGTGAACTACATTATATTCAGAGGTGTTCCTAATATCTATATTTTAAATATCATTTCAAATATGCACAGATAAAATTACTTTAGAATCAGAATCAGAATCTCCTTTATTGGCCAGGTGTGTGGGACACACGAGGAATTTGACTCTGGTACATCGGCTCTCAATGTGCATGTACATGTCCTTATGTAAGGGGCAAGTAAACGAGGATAAGGCTAGGAATTAACTGTGAATTATGTGTCTCTTGTGCCCAATACATAATAAAGCACACCAAGAAATTGAGCTCTGTAAAAATATGTATTATTGTTTTTGAAAATATAAAATCTGTGTATTACAATAATAATCATAGTTGGTTTGGGATCATAAGGCCAAAAGATATCAACAGTTACATTTTAAGGCATTTTTCTTCCATATACAGCATTAAAAATGTTTTCTTGCACTTCTAATAACATATCAGTATATTCGTATATATAGTATTTTACCATTCATGTGTAGTGTGTTTTGGATGCAAGACTAATTGCAAAGAAAGCAAATGGAGTTCTGGCTTGCATTTGGTTCTCAACCTAGAGACTAGGATGAGCCAGTGGAGCCAGCTCTCACAAATAATTAATAAAAGGAAAAATGCAAAGCATTTACTCAAGTACTGAAGTACAATTTTGATGTATTTGTACTTTACTCGAGTGTCTTCATTCCCTGCTACTGCATACTACATTTTAGAGGCACTACAGGTTTTGATGCTAATACTTTAGTACCTTTACTTAAGTAACATTTTGAATGTAGGACTTTACTTGTAACGGAATGCTTTGGCACTGTGGTATTGCTACTTTTGCTTAAGTGTGGGATCTGAGTACTTCTTCCACTGATTCAAAGGATGCTGTGCTCTCTGATCGGGATGATAAGGAGAATATGCGAAACTATGAAGCAGAGTATATGTGGGAATAATGGAACTTAAGTTAAAGCTAAATGACATACTGTAGGCATCCATTACCAAAAACGGGACACACACACACACAAAGGGTGGGCTTATAAGGACTTAAGTATGGGGCGCCGTTTGTAAAAATAGCACTTACACTAGTTTTCTCACATTTAGCTATAGTGACAAAGTCTAAATGTAAATGTTAAATATAAATGTAAATGTTAATGTAAATGTTAAATGTCTCGCCAAGTGTAAAACTGAATATTTAGTAGCTCCACAGCCTTGCCCTATTACAGCACAGCACACAGCCCCCCCCATGATGCTGAACTCGAATCAGTGATGCTGACTCAAAGACCTCAAACCCAGAGTCAGGTGTGGGCGGGGCTGTGTTTGAGGTCTTTGGGTCAGCATCACTGACTAAATGTGAGAAAATGTGTTGTCACATTCAGCTAAATGTGAGAAAACTAGTGTAAGTGCTATTTTTACAAACGGCGCCCCATACTTAAGCACATGTTTTTTTTCTATTGTTGTTTCTTTGTTTCTTAAAAATGTAGTAAAACCCATCAGCATTGTCAGGGACCAAGCAGTAAGGCAAAAGACACAGCTTCCAAAGTTCAAAACAAAGGGCTTTTTATTAACCCAAAAGTAAGAAAAATACAAAACTAACATCAGATAAACTGGGCCCTAAAAGAGGTCAACAAAAGATAAGGAAACTCAAAATACAGCAAACTGAACTGTCTAATACCTCAACAAAACCAACTGACCTAGCAAATGACACACACAAGGGAACATATATACTGGCTGGCCAAACCAATAACACACACAAGGGGTAAACTAAAGACACTACCAAAATAATCAACTAATAAACACTAAACAGTCTGCTCTCAACTAAATATTTCCTTTAAATGTAAAGAAATTAACATAACTTGACAAATAAAGTTCTAACATAAACTACCAACAAATAAACAATAAATTTCTCCCAAACTCCCCCCTTTCTTGTATTGGGCACTTGGTGCAGTCCAGGCCTAGTGGGAGGTATTTAAACCTGCCACTTCCTCAGACCAATCTTTTAGCTGAACCCCCCAGGCCAGGACTGAGGCCTTCACAAGCATACTATTGTAATACTCACAGAAAAACACTAAACCCTAAGGAAAGAACTGCAAAAACTGAACACAAGCTACTTTTTTTGCTTTCTCATTGTTAGCTACAGCTAGCAAACGATCATGAGAGTTAAATGTTCTTTTACTTGCCATCATAGTTAACTAGTATATGTGTTTCATGTTACCCAGCTAGTTCTGTAGAGGGTGACAGAAGACTGCAGCCTATCTAAGCATGCACTGAATAAGGAGGGATCGATCCTGAGCAGGTCATACACTCCAGAACAAACACAGACAAGACTCACACCTGAGGGTAAGGCTTCAGTCCAGTCTATGAATTTGTGCAAGCTGTGTATTGACTTCAGACCAAATGGAGGAAACATACTGTACAAGACCATAAGAGGAGCTTAGCACTGGCCCCAGGTTCTGAGCCAGCTTACAGCATGGTCCAGTCAATTTAGTCTTCCAATGCACCTGATTTCTGTGTGTGTGTGTGTGTGTGTGTGTGTGTGTTGTCACCACAGAACCAAAGCTGTGATAAACAGCAGCACTAGGTGAAAACATGCAGCTCCCTCATTTGTTTTAAATGGGACCACTGTGTTGGTTGCTGATGCAGATGGCTGAAAAGTACAGTATATGCAGAGTCTTCAGGCAGAGCCAGCTGATCAGTCCAATAGATGCATGCACATATTGTTGAAAAATTACTTTATGATTGGTTTATTCCTGATCTTTACCTTATGATTGTTGCAATGAAAGATAATCACTGTTATAACACGAGTAAAATTCTGTCGTAGAGTAATTTGGTGCCTGGTAAGCCTTCAAATTCATCTGTAACTCAAACTCGCACTCTTACATTGTGTTTCAGCACTGATCAGCGCATCATCGCAAAGGATGTGCTGCTCTTTGATGAGATGCTGATTTAAGTCTTAGAAAACTGACAAATAGAGGGGGACTACTTGAACAAATTACATTAAGTTAAGGACTTCATCTGATGGCCAGAAGTAGTGAATGAATTTAATGTCTTCCTGAAAGGGTTTTGATGATCACCATGTCATGCTCTTTTTTTTTTTTAAGATGTTATTGCTAAATCACGCCTAAGCTTATCCATTGTGCTAACCTTTACACCCCGTCATTTTCATAAAACCCAGCAAATTTGTCGTGGGGCTACCCTCTGGTCTCCACAGGAAACATCTGGTCCCCGCAAAGCAGCATGCTCCTAGTTTTTCATCCCCACAAGTATATATAAACAGCTCCCCCCCATCATGGCATCCTGTGTGAAATATACATTATCAACAGAAAAAGTTAATTGAAAAGCATATTTTCTCTCTCGACTTTCTTGATTGTTTTAAATTTCAGATTATCTTAGTTGGAAATTACTTTGAAGACATTTGTTACTACTTTAATTACAATGACCCTTAAATTCCCTTTCAAGTTTCAACGTGCATAAAACATTTGTTCAACATTTGTGATATTATTAAATTCTATATTTTTGTTTTTTTGTTTTTTTTGTTTGTTTTCCAGTGTTTTACATATTGAGTTAAATTAAAATCCAATCCCTGGAAGTTTTTATGGCTGCAACATTGCATCAAATGGTTACATAGAAGCCTTGTACAGCGTTTTATCCACATTTGGATTGTGGTTTCTTTTTAACCCCTACCCATGAAGCAAAAAATACAACAGCAAAAGTGTTAAAAGGATTAAACAATATGCTTGTCTGGTATTATATAAGCCACAAAAATTTATATAGCTAACTATATACAGTAACTCAGCCTAACTTCTAAGCCCTCCGGCATTTTTGCCTGGAATATGTAGCTGTGAAGCAAACCTGAGCTGATAAAGTTTGTGACAGCTTTCATTTCAAATGACAAATTCAACATTCACCAGCTAGAAAGACAAGGCTGCTTTTGTCTACTTCTGTTTCAGATCAGGACCCATTGTTGTTCTATTTAGCTTGACCAAGTTTCACTTCCTTCAAATGGTAAACTTGTCCCTGTTATCATTAAAAAGTGCACATGTTCCATGTGGAAGTGGAAGTGGTAGCTAAGGAGTGGGGGGGGATTAAATCATTGCTAAGTTCTCTGGGTTTTAGCAATGTTTGTCTGCACAATGGAACCTTGCAATGATGCCAAAGAGTCTGTGGGGTTAAAGAAATAAATGCGTGTCATTTGTTACGTCATTAGCAGGACATCTATTTATGCTCACATGGTCAATAACCCTGGATTCCGTTTCAAATGCAACAAGCCTTTCATTAACCTTCACATGTCGCAAGCAGCCCATAAATGGTGAGGACACGGGAACCCGGCTGTACTTAGTTGGCCCTGAGTGGAGAAGAGACGAAGGAAAAAAGAAGATTCTGGTCAGGGTTACTTCATAAAAGCTAATATTGTTTGAAAGCAAAATGTTTAATGGGTTTACTTCCGATTTAAAGTGAGTCCAGTGTTGAGTATGACGTAGATGTGGGGCAGCCTGCTCTCTGCTCAGGCATGGAGTCCACTACTAATTGCTAGCTAATGTTAGCATACATTAGGTCAATATTGCTAAAATAAATGATATTACTTGGTGTGTAAGTGACTTTATGATTACCCCACTTGTGCTGTTGTTATTACATAATATTTTAACATTTAACATTATTTCTCCTGATAGCCATCCCAGTGTTTTCTCCTGGAGCCTGAAAATGACAGAAGAGCATGACAAATAAAAATAAGATACTGAAAATGATTTAGTCACTCATAAAGAGCCACACTCACATCCTTGTGACCCAAGTAGAAAACAAAAAGGTATGCGTCTGTGTGTGTCCTGGTGTTGTGTTTGTCTGTGGTTTTCAGGGCAATCGAGAAGAAGATCAACAGCTTTAAATGCTTTCATGTCTTCAAGGTTTTTCAGAGGACAAAGCTCAGAGTAACTTTTTCCATTGAGAGTTCGAGCCTGGGTCGACCCAGGACCTTCCTGT